GTAGGTCCATTGACTTCGTCTTCATCTGTAGATGTGATTTGATGTGTTTGTTTGTCAATTTTGATCGCCAAAACAATAGAGAAATGTCTTTTTACTTTATAGTGGAGTCTATATATAATGCTTTTGTTCAATAAGCTTTAGCGCCACTTGTGGTGCAATGGAATGAGAGTCGGCCCCTGCTGCGGGAGACCCGGGTTCGACTCCCGCCCTTGGCATCAGATCCCGACCTCCCTCAATTCGCTTGTATATGTTACCCAAGTCAATACAGGTCAATACGGGTGCATATTTAATAGTTATAAAATATATTATTATTTTGTAATTATTAATAATATTGAGAGTGGGCTTCCATATTGATCTGTGCACACCCCTACATGGCAGGGAGATATGCTGGGTTAGGGTTATCTTGATAATCTCATAATATGTGACCCAAGTCAATATGGGTGCATATTTAATAGTTATAGAAACTATTATTATTTTATTATTATTACAATATGACTGTTGCATGTCAGGGTGAGATGCTGGAGCTGCTGCGTCCGTGTTTTGGGGGTCTTGGAGCGGCCCAAAAGAGGTGCTTTTCGCGCTCTGTCTCCTTGCAGTGTGATATAGTCTGTTTGCTCATGACAGGGTGAGATGCTGGAGCTGCTGCGTCCGTGTTTTGGGGGTCTTGGAGCGGCCCAAAAGAGGTGCTTTTCGCGCTCTGTCTCCTTGCAGTGTGATATAACCTGTTTGCTCATGACATGGAGAGATGCTGGGGCTGCTGCGTCCGTGTTTTGGGGGTCTTGGAGCGGCCCAAAAGAGGTGCTTTTCGCGCTCTGTCTCCTTGCAGTGTGATATAACCTGTTTGCTCATGACAGGGTGAGATGCTGGGGCTGCTGCGTCCGTGTTTTGGGGGTCTTGGAGCGGCCCAAAAGAGGTGCTTTTCGCGCTCTGTCTCCTTGCAGTGTGATATAGTCTGTTTGCTCATGACAGGGTGAGATGCTGGAGCTGCTGCGTCCGTGTTTTGGGGGTCTTGGAGCGGCCCAAAATAGGTGCTTTTCGCGCTCTGTCTCCTTGCAGTGTGATATAACCTGTTTGCTCATGACATGGAGAGATGCTGGGGCTGCTGCGTCCGTGTTTTGGGGGTCTTGGAGCGGCCCAAAATAGGTGCTTTTCGCGCTCTGTCTCCTTGCAGTGTGATATAGTCTGTTTGCTCATGACAGGGAGAGATGCTGGGGCTGCTGCGTCCGTGTTTTGGGGGTCTTGGAGCGGCCCAAAAGAGGTGCTTTTCGCGCTCTGTCTCCTTGCAGTGTGATATAGTCTGTTTGCTCATGACAGGGTGAGATGCTGGAGCTGCTGCGTCCGTGTTTTGGGGGTCTTGGAGCGGCCCAAAATAGGTGCTTTTCGCGCTCTGTCTCCTTGCAGTGTGATATAACCTGTTTGCTCATGACATGGAGAGATGCTGGGGCTGCTGCGTCCGTGTTTTGGGGGTCTTGGAGCGGCCCAAAAGAGGTGCTTTTCGCGCTCTGTCTCCTTGCAGTGTGATATAACCTGTTTGCTCATGACATGGAGAGATGCTGGGGCTGCTGCGTCCGTGTTTTGGGGGTCTTGGAGCGGCCCAAAAGAGGTGCTTTTCGCGCTCTGTCTCCTTGCAGTGTGATATAACCTGTTTGCTCATGACATGGAGAGATGCTGGGGCTGCTGCGTCCGTGTTTTGGGGGTCTTGGAGCGGCCCAAAATAGGTGCTTTTCGCGCTCTGTCTCCTTGCAGTGTGATATAGTCTGTTTGCTCATGACAGGGAGAGATGCTGGGGCTGCTGCGTCCGTGTTTTTGGGGGTTTTGGAGCGGCCCAAAAGAGGTGCTTTTCGCGCTCTGTCTCCTTGCAGTGTGATATAACCTGTTTGCTCATGACATGGAGAGATGCTGGGGGCTGCTGCGTCCGTGTTTTGGGGGTCTTGGAGCGGCCCAAAAGAGGTGCTTTTAGCGCTCTGTCTCCTTGCAGTGTGATATAGTCTGTTTGCTCATGACAGGGTGAGATGCTGGAGCTGCTGCGTCCGTGTTTTGGGGGTCTTGGAGCGGCCCAAAAGAGGTGCTTTTCGCGCTCTGTCTCCTTGCAGTGTGATATAACCTGTTTGCTCATGACATGGAGAGATGCTGGGGCTGCTGCGTCCGTCTTTTGGGGTCTTATATTTATATCATCTGTGACTCCTCCTCTAAAATGGTGGCTAACCACATGCTGTTAAAGTCAAACCAAAAGTGTAATAGCATAGTCATTATTTGTTAACTACTAATCAATAACCCAAGTGGAAATATGCTCCGTTTCGGATACTTCACACTTTCGCAAACATTTACACACGATAGGTGTCTGAAAGTATATCCATTCGCTTCGTCTTGGTCTGTAGATGTGATTTGATGTGTCGTTTGTACATTTTGATGGCGGAAATATTGGGTTAGGGTTATATTGGGGTTCAGCACCACGGAGAGCGCCTCCCCTGAGATGTGGGATCTACAAGTGGGCTTCCATATTAGGATGGGGCAGGGGTTCAGCACGACGGAGAGCGCCTCCCCTGAGATGTGGGATCTACAAGTGGGCACCTACATCTACACACCCCCCCCCCCATAAGTACAAGTACACAGCAAGTGAATACTTGTGTTACTGTGTAATATGCGGAAAGTGGGACCCATATTGGTTACAAGTACACAGCAAGTGAATACATGTGTTACTGTGTAATATGCGTAAAGTGGGCACCCGTATTGGTTACAAGTACACAGCAAGTGAATACTTGTGTTACTGTGTAATATGCGGAAAGTGGGACCCATATTGGTTACAAGTACACAGCAAGTGAATACATGTGTTACTGTGTAATATGCGTAAAGTGGGCACCCGTATTGGTTACAAGTACACAGCAAGTGAATACTTGTGTTACTGTGTAATATGCGGAAAGTGGGACCCATATTGGTTACAAGTACACAGCAAGTGAATACATGTGTTACTGTGTAATATATGGTAAGTGGGCGCCATATTGGGTTGACGGACACCCCCCCCCCAAGTACAAGTACACAGCAAGTGAATACATGTGTTACTGTGTAATATATGGTAAGTGGGCGCCATATTGGGTTGACGGACACCCCCCCCCCAAGTACAAGTACACAGCAAGTGAATACATGTGTTACTGTGTAATATATGGTAAGTGGGCGCCATATTGGGTTGACGGACACCCCCCCCCAAGTACAAGTACACAGCAAGTGAATACATGTGTTACTGTGTAATATATGGTAAGTGGGCGCCATATTGGGTTGACGGACACCCCCCCCCAAGTACAAGTACACAGCAAGCGAATACATGTGTTACTGTGTAATATATGGTAAGTGGGCGCCATATTGGGTTGACGGACACCCCCCCCCCAAGTACAAGTACACAGCAAGTGAATACATGTGTTACTGTGTAATATATGGTAAGTGGGCGCCATATTGGGTTGACGGACACCCCCCCCCAAGTACAAGTACACAGCAAGTGAATACATGTGTTACTGTGTAATATATGGTAAGTGGGCGCCATATTGGGTTGACGGACACCCCCCCCCAAGTACAAGTACACAGCAAGTGAATACATGTGTTACTGTGTAATATATGGTAAGTGGGCGCCATATTGGGTTGACGGACACCCCCCCCCCCAAGTACAAGTACACAGCAAGCGAATACATGTGTTACTGTGTAATATATGGTAAGTGGGCGCCATATTGGGTTGACGGACACCCCCCCCCCAAGTACAAGTACACAGCAAGCGAATACATGTGTTACTGTGTAATATATGGTAAGTGGGCGCCATATTGGGTTGACGGACACCCCCCCCCCCAAGTACAAGTACACAGCAAGCGAATACATGTGTTACTGTGTAATATATGGTAAGTGGGCGCCATATTGGGTTGACGGACACCCCCCCCCCCAAGTACAAGTACACAGCAAGCGAATACATGTGTTACTGTGTAATATATGGTAAGTGGGCGCCATATTGGGTTGACGGACACCCCCCCCCCCCAAGTACAAGTACACAGCAAGCGAATACATGTGTTACTGTGTAATGTATGGTAAGTGGGCGCCATATCGGGTTGACGGACACCCCCCCCCCCCAAGTACAAGTACACGGCAGGCGAATACTAGCGTCGCTGCGTAATACGCGGAAAGAGGGCTCCCGTACGGGCTCCGCGGACGCCCCCGCCACCTCCGCCTGGTGGCCGGAGACGGGACGGCGTCCGGGAGACCCCTAACGGGTTAAACCCCGCCGGTCGCCGGGGGGGGTCGTCGCCGGGGCGGGCCGCGGCGACGGCCGGAGGCCCGGGGACCGTCCCGGGACCGCCCGGGGGTCCGGCCATTTTACGAAGGCCGCGGGGGGGCGGAGCCGGGCCTGTTTGCGGACCGGCCGTCCGCCGGCAGCGTTTTATGCTGTCGGCGGGCTCCGGCCCTCCGAGCAGTACTGCTAGCATTGGGAAGCAGGTGATGTGTGTGTGCGCTCGGTGAGAAGCAGGCGATGTGTGTGTGCGCTCGGTGAGAAGCAGGCGATGTGTGTGTGCGCTCGGTGAGAAGCAGGCGATGTGTGTGTGCGCTCGGTGGGAAGCAGGCGATGTGTGTGTGCGCTCGGTGGGAAGCAGGCGATGTGTGTGTGCGCTCGGTGGGAAGCAGGCGATGTGTGTGTGCGCTCGGTGGGAAGCAGGTGATGTGTGTGTGCGCTCGGTGGGAAGCAGGCGATGTGTGTGTGTGCGCTCGCTGAGAAGCAGGCGATGTGTTGTGTGCGCTCGGTGAGAAGCAGGCGATGTGTGTGTGCGCTCGGTGAGAAGCAGGCGATGTGTGTGCGCGCTCGGTGAGAAGCAGGCGATGTGTGTGTGCGCTCGGTGAGAAGCAGGCGATGTGTGTGTGCGCTCGGTGAGAAGCAGGCGATGTGTGTGTGCGCTCGGTGAGAAGCAGGCGATGTGTGTGTGCGCTCGGTGGGAAGCAGGTGAGGAGCAAAGAGACGATGATTCACTCACGCCTGCGGCTGACTGTAGTAGCTGTCGTATGACTCGTAGGCCGTGTCTGTGTAGCTCTCATCGTAGCCCTGGAGAGGGAGGAAACAAGAGCGAGGTTTAGGGAGAGACTTCTTCATGAATCACAAATGTCAAGATGCCCCCAAAGAACTACACCAACACAGACAAGCCCCCCCTTATGTCTCGAGCATCCCAAATCACTTATTTCGGTTTTGACGGACGAGCAATTCAGAGCCAAGAACAATCTTATTCAGAGGAGACCGTGATGGAGAGGATTACATATTTCTCTACAGGAAACTCTCCTTCTGCCTGTAGCACTTTCTATCCCTCATACGTCCTTTTATTTCTTCAAGTTAACAGATCACTTACTGTGCGTAGGATGCAGCATTGGTTTTTATGAGTGTATAAAGCCATTTTAGGAAAGCTTCCACTGTACATATGTGCCAGATTTGCTCCAGTTTGTGACTCTTACAACCTCAGATCCAGAGCCTGGATACGGTTCCGGGTTCCTGCCGTGTGGACTGAGGCTTTATGATGGTCCTTGGTCTTGGAATGACCTTCAATCAAGCCTCAAACTGAGGGCACTTGTCTCAATAGCATGTTTTAAATTGAAGTTGTCTGAAGTCCTAACCACCAGCTGCTCTTGCAGTAATAAGTAGTGCCTTTCTTACTGTCCTAATGTGCACAATGTCGTGACTGCTTTTCGTCTTTTGTTTTCTTAGTTGTGTTCTCTGTATTTTATATGTCTGTGTTATGTGTAACGTTGCTGCCTTCTTGGCCAGGTCAGCATTGAAAATGAGATTGTATCTCAATGCTTTTTTATCAGGTTAAATAAAAATAAATACAAGATATCTTAACTTGTCTGTACGATAATTAAGGCAGCACAATTAAGATGTAATCAAAATCCCAGTTTTGACAACATTCAAATCTCAAGACACTGTGTGTTACAGGCAAAATATGTGTACATCTTATTCTGAAATAAGTTTGGTGGTGTTTGGACTTAATAAAATATCTTTTGTAAAGATCCTCTCACACCATGATCATTTTAATGTATTCTTCAATTATAATGAGATATATGATTAAAAACAAATCAATTACTTCCAAAATCATTTCTCAATATCTGCATTTCTTTTACAAATCACCAGGCCCTAATAATACATCTTATAATCATGCTACTGTAAGGACATTAACATATATCCAAAACACATACATCAAGCCACCTTGTTAAGCAGTATTTACATTGTTACCTATTTTTCTATAAAGTGAAGATTTGTTTACCTACTTTTGATGCTCTGATAGATTAACTGTATGCTGTTGAAAAAACCCAATAAACAAAGTTACTTACATATTCCTCGTAGCCCTCAGAGGCTGCAGTGGGGGTGTGCTGGTGGGGGGGTGGGTGTGCCATCCTGTGGGGGGGTCCTGCAGCTGGGGGTCTGGCTCGGGGTGCTGGTGCTCCTCTGGAGGGTGCTGCTGGGGGTCCTCCTCGCCCCGATGGGACCCCCCTCACTGCTCCACCTCTGGGTGGGCCGCCTCGAGGTACTCCTCCTCTGGCAGGAGCTCCACGAGGGGGCATCCCCCGACCCCTGGAGAGCAGAACACTGAGGTAAATTATTTGAAGATTCAACTTATTGTCATTACGTAGTACAGGTACTAGTAACGAAACGGTCTAGTGTTAGGAGCAGTGGGCTGCCATTATGTACGGCACCCAGGGAGCAGTGTAGGGAACGGTGCCAGGGACACCTCGGTAGCACTTGGTCTTTCCGGGACTTGAACTGGTGACCTTCCAGTTGCCGAGCCAAGTCCCTATGGACATCGCCACCACCGCCCTATGTTCTTCTCCTTTAAGGAATACTTCAGGATTTAGGGAATTGTGAAGGTAAACTTCTGTTGTTGCAATGTTGAGGTAGAATGAAGGAGTCTGGAACCGTTGTTAGCCAAAAGCACTGAAGAGTTTTATTGGAGAAAGTACAGACAATAACGGCCGGGAGATCATCTTAGTTTCACACATGCCCAGTGCTCCACCAGCGATCTCTGAACCAAAAGACACAAAACATCTAACCAACACGAGGAGAGGCGGGCTTCCAGAAAGCCCGCGTATAATCAATAGCCGATGCAAGACAATGATCTGCTTGTCTCAAAGAGATGCTGCCAGGTCAACCCTCGGACATAGGAGAAGCGTTTGACCTGTGACCTCAACCTACAGAGGGGTCTTTGAGTGACTACAAGCAGATGTTTGCAGTATCACAGACTCTAAGGAACCATAAAAGACTCTATAAACAGATCAGATGAAAATATTCTCTTACAGGAATATGTAGACCTGTACAGAACGGTGCCATTTAGTGCTCAAGCTAACAAAAATACCAATCTTAACTTCAGGTATATAAAGTAGTCAAATAATAAACACTAATAAACATTGTGTTCAATTTCATCCCTCTGAATTCCTCAAACTGGTCCTTTAATCGGTGACCTTCATAAAAAGGTGTTGCCAGTTGATGTTTGAAAGACTCAGGCAACCCTTTCCCTCCGTTTTCACTATTCATGCTAAGCTAAGCTAACCTTCGAGCTCCAGCCCCATTATTTACCATACGAACATGCAAATGGATGTTAATCACATGATGTAACACTGAGGTAAAAATATGTTCCTCTACTTGAAGGAATACTACAGAATTTAGGAAACATGTAGACCTGGACAGACTTCATGAAACCTTTATGAAATCCTCATAACACGCTCTAAGATGTCACCGTTTCAGAAAAAGATCGTGTTAAAGGAGCAGTGTTGGGGGTTTAGTGCCATTTACTGCTCAAGCCAACCAAAATACCAACTGACTTCAGGACAAGCTATTCCTTAAAAAAAGTAAAAACTTGATATATGAGAAAACCGGCGTCTGTGTCTGTGTGTGTGTGTGTGTGTGTGTGTGTGTGTGTGTGTGTGCGTGCGTGTGCGTGTGCGTGTGCGTGTGCGTGTGTGTGCCTCACCTGTGTGCTCCACCAGGGGGGAGTCCGCGGCCCCTGACCGGAGGGCCCCCTCTGCCTCTGGCCCCATGTTCCTGGCCTCCGTTCAGGTAGCCCATCTCCAGGAACTGCTCTTGGCAGATATCATCCATCATATCCTACACACACACACACACACACACACACATTAACACACACACGCACGAAGAAAGAAGACAGAGAGTGAGGGTTAGAAACTAGGGCCACATGACATGGGGAAGTGGAATGAAAAAGCAAGAAAAGGAGGCAGTTACAGAGCTGCTCACAACACAACCCCCCCCCCCCCTAATGGCTAACAGAGCGAGTGGAGGAGAAAGTCTCAGTGCCAGTGACTCGGTGTTAAAGAGAAGGGGGGCGGCAGGGGGGTTTTAGTGGATGTGGGGGTTTGGAAAGCATCCATCCACACTCCTGAGCCACTCCGTCATGCACAAAATGTAAATCTGTTCTCCCTGCACTTCTTGACAAGCCTGGAGAGATTGCATCAATTTATTATCATCTGCAAAAAAACAATAACTGGGGGGGAATTAACGAAGCGGTCCGTCTGAGCGACACAGATCCAGTAACACAATCCAACACTTCTTCGGAGAGCGATCGCACCGTGATTGAATTGATTATTTCCCAGAAATCAGTCCCTGAAATTGTGACCGAGCTCTAATGACAGTGAAAAGGAAGATAGGAAAAACGAGAATATGAAGCGCGGACTTTACATTTATCTGCAGCCTAAGCAAACAGCAGCGACTCAGATATTCATCAGTGAGACTGCAAGGTGACACTTTACCCATCAAGGTGTTCAGATTCATCGAGTTCCTTCATATATTGCATTAAATAGAAAAGATAAAAAGAAACTGTCAATGTGCTTCACACAGCATCAAGGCTCTGCTTGTGCATTTACATCGGCAGCCAGTTTTATTCAAATATGGCCTGGTTTCAAATGAAGGACGTCAAACCTGACAGATTATGGCTTTAAGTTGTGACGACAGGTTCGGCAGGGGACGGCTTTGTACTGCCTATTCGTCCTATAGCACCCTCTAATTAAAACTTAGAACTTGTCCTGCTTTGGCTGGAGCCGTCGACAGAGCACTGTGGGCTTCAGCCAGGCTTTGTTGGCCCGTGATCCAGAATCTCCCCGCACAAAACGGATGAAATAAGCGTAGGCCGCGCCGGGTGAAATACACCACGGATCTGTCTGGGAAACTTACATCTCCACGCTGAGTGTCCTCGCTCCCTGAGGAATGAGACTCAGTGATGGACGGACAGGAGGAACCCTGCCAACAAGATGCCTCCTGTTGAGCTGATCTTCTATTAGATTTACAGTGTTGTTAACACAAACAAACACAAATCTAATTTGGCTTAATTGTTCTCATTCTGCCTGTGCTGCAGCACCTCTGTTCACCCTCTGTCTGAAACCAGAGTCTGCTCTGATTGGTTAGCTGGCCGGCTCTGTTGTGATTGGTCAACCGCTTAGAGATATCCCGCCTATAGCCTATCACGTACAATGTGCTGGAGGGATAGCCAATAGGAGCATAAGTGTTACATAGTGAGGCGTTTCAGGCACAAAAACCTATAACACACTACAAGAGAGAGAAAACCCCCAAAAGAACAATAGGGCCCCTTAAATTGCAATTTTTCAGGCATTCTTTTCCATTTATAATTAATATTTCATATTTGATAAACCAAATAATTCATCATGAATCTATTGGCACTGCAGGTTACATTTATAATAAGTGTTTAATCGTAGGCTAAATGGAAAACCCACTAATTACTTGATTGAATCATTTGGCATTGAATTAACCACATCTTTAGCCATTTTTGCCGGTACAGTTTTCATAAAGGCAAAGATACGCTTTGATTTATATCTTTAGAATATTAAAGCTTTGTCGGACTAATTTCAGCACATTAGCGTTTATTAACTTGTGTTGGGTGTGAGTCAATATTGTTGACATTTTACAGATGAATTAAATACATTATATGCAGTTTAATGAATTGTAAGGAATATTTGTTCGATGCAGCAGCTACCAAAACGTCAACAGAAAGCAAGACATGAGCACAGCACCACAGCAGAGAGGGACTCACAGGAAACAGGAACTTCTTGACCTCCTCCATGGCGTGGGCCATGCGCAGGTAGGCCTCGGGCACGGGGGCGAACACCTCGACGAACACGTGCAGCTCCAAGGACAGGTGGGAGTATTTGGGCTCGCCGGCTTTCCTCAGCCCCTCCTCCTGAAACCAGACAACATCACATCAGAGTCAGAGAGGCAGAGCAGCTAAGTCAAATGAATTATGCAAGGAGTAGTCCCATTTCATCGGCGGCATCAGAGGGCATCAAGCACAGGTGGTGTTCCCTTCCTTTGTGTGGATTAATAATTGCATCAAAGTGGAGGAAAACTGTTTTAACGGGAGTTCCTGAAGACTCCAGATGTGCAGAGTGTGAATGCCCTTGGCTTTACGTTCACGTTCACTCTGCCAGTTGAAACCATCTGCCTGACATCGCTCTGAACTACAGGCCAGATGTGTTATGGCTCCAGGTACAAGTGTGTAGCACCAGATGTGTGTGTGTGTTTAGGAAAGTGCACTACCTTGGATTTGTCTCTCATGGATCCTTTGCCCAGCACCGAGATCTTGGCCCCGGTCTCTTCCTGCAGACGTTTGATCGTGTTGCCCTGAGGTCCCAGAATCTTCCCCACGAAATTGAACTAATGGCAAAACAAAGCAGGAAGAGATTTGCCTGACAGTCAAAGCAGCGGTGAGTTTAACACCCAGAGTGAAGTGTCAGGGCGGCGTGTTGCTCCTGCTACCGGAGAAGATCCCTGAAGGCTGCAGCACTGTCCCTCTCTATTCACTACATTCATCCAAGAACTGAAACCCTGCCTATTTGTGCCTGTTTAATCTTTAAAGAAACTCATTAACGAGTGCATATGTGAGCCACAATTAGCAAAAGAGTTGCCTTTAAGGAAGCAATCCCTCCTGGAGTTGTGAAAGTAATCTGAAACCACTCATGAGCTTTGTCTCTCCTGACACTGGACTGATGTTCCGACTCAAACTAAGCCTGTCAAACTAAGCCGGGCTTCAGGAGATCAGAAGGCTGTCTTACTGCACAGACCAGACACCTACAGCGTATTGATCTGAGGCTGGAGACGTCTATGCCTCCTATTCTGCTTCACATCCAGTAAAAATGTCAACTTTTGTACTTAAAAAAGTACGCTGAATAGTCAAAAGTATACAACAGGATTTAGACAGCCACAATATCAACATATAGGTCACTTAAAATCATGCAAATACATTCCACAACATGCAGAAGAAGCATCACGCAACTAGCAATCTGTGAGTTTTACAGGAAAGTTGCAACGATTAGCCAACAAATTAATCGACAGAAAATTAATAGCCAACTATTTTGATAATTAGTTCATCATTAAAGTCGTTTTTCATGCAGAGAATGCGGTTATCAGGCTCTCAAATATGAAAAACTCCAATTTGTCTGCTTTGTATTACATTAAACTGAATATTTTGGAATGCCTTAAGACAGGGGTGTCAAACTCAATTTCATCACGGGCCACATCAGCATTTTGGTTGCACTCAAAGGGCCGGTTGTAACTTTAAGAGTATATATATATACATATGTAAATATTTAATATAAACGTATGTATGATATGACATTATTGCCTCTGCATTGGATCATTATCGGATAGGGGAATAACTTCATAATTAACTACGTCTGAAAGCAGAAGTCTAGGGGAAATCATTGGAAGTCTCTTCAGTGAGAATGTCACAAAATAAAAAAAATGTAAGAAAAAATTCTGGGGAAAAATTGAAAATGTAAAAAAAAGTGAAATTCTGAAGAAAAAAGTCAGATTCTGAAAAAAATCATATTTGAGATGCATTGTGGGACATGTAGTTTATGGGCAACGTGCTTCTGTAAATCGGCATGTAACCGTATAATAAACGATATTATATTCTTTCAGAGCTCTTGTGGGGCCGCATTAAATGAAGTCGCGGGCCGGATTTGGCACCCGGGCCTTGAGTTTGACACCCCTGCTTTAAGACATCCCTTTTGATTTATGACATGTATTGACCAATAATCAATTGAGAAAACAATCAGCAGATGAATAAATACATTGAAAATAATGGTCAGTTGCAGCTGTACTTCAACGACAACATAAACCATCGCGCAAAAATCAATGTGGTCAGAAGTGAGAGATATAGATCAAATGATATATGTCGAGACACCTGAGGGTGAAGTGAAGTAAGATTTCACACTGAATTCAAGCATGTTCACGGGTTCCAATCTCCTACTGCACACAGTAAGACAATCGCCCTCCTATCCATAGTGATAATAACATTTTGATCCTTTTGATGATATTTTAAAACACGCCAGAATCGGCGGTAATTATTCTCTGCAGTTTAGAGATCAAGGTTAGGAGGAGTAATTTGAGACTCCACAGTAACCCCGTGGCTTTGTGTAATTGAAACCTGACGTCAAGATAAATTAAATCAAGAAGGTTCACGGTGAAAAGAGACGAAGAAGACAGACAGGCTCACCTTCGGGTACTGTTTGACAGGTATGAGCACTCGTTCCTTAAGTTTGATGTTCTTTGTTGTGAAAAGGTCCATGTAGTCGTCCGCCTCCTTTTTAGTCTCGTCTTTCTGGAGTCTATCAATTTCTAGAAAGGATGGGAGAGGCATCGTTTCAGACAAAGTGTTCATGCAATAGAACAGGATCAAAGTACAAGGAGGATTTATGAGCACTTTCGTTATTCAGTAAGTATTGACTGAGAGATTTGCAGGTCAAACAACATCTTCGTGTCTAGACTCTAACTTGGCCAGATTTTGCGACACACAAGTTACTTTTAATAGAGGTTTCAACTTCAGTTTTAAGTATCATTAACATCCAAATAAAGTTCTTTTTTTGCCTGGTTTTAACAGAGAAAGCTGGACAGATTTTGACCGACAGTCAGAGTTTAAAGAAAGCCTGGTGCTTTCCATAAAACACAAGTTTGTTTGCTTTTCATTCAGCAGGTTTTTCTGAACTTGTCACCACCGTAAATGGAGATGAAACAGGTAATTAGTCGATAATCTGGCAAACTACTTTGACAATCAATCATTTGAGCTCTTCGACTACAAACCGTCTCTGCGGCTAACATTAAAAAAATAATATCTTGGGTGTTTTGCTGCTGATCTGAAACACAACACACCTTTGGATCAGCTGACTTGTGTTAAGGTCTTCAAAGATATCGATAATGGTGTGATACCTGCACATCGAACTGTTCCAGGAAGACTGATATTGCACATTTGAGTTAGTTAAAAACGAGTACCGCTAGAATACAGCTTTTTGAAATGTTACATTTTTGCCTCGTGTGTTTAATTCAATGTATTTTTCCACAATAGGATGTAGGGAAATACTGTCCTTCTTTGTTTTAAACAATACAACAAGCAGCAGAAAAGACAGAACTAAACCGCATCGATTGGTTATATATCGTCAAAACATGTTATTATTATGATATTGAACCCAAATAATCGCATGTTTTCCTCCTATTGCGCAACCCTATAATCATCACCATTTCCCATTACTTATACAACAAGAATAGACAAGAAAAGACTCGCCAGTGCAATCAACAAATCAAATTATAGCACCAATTCTGAACTCTGTAATAAGCAGCCAACACCACCATCTCTTCCCTGTGGCGCCCAGCACCCTCACAGCTCTTCATCTCATCCTCCTCCTCACTCCTGGCCGTGACATCTCCTGAGCGGCGATGTTCAAACATGTCAGCTCCATCTCAGAGCACCAGCCGCAGATGTGCACAGCCTCAGAAGATGTCACAGTGTGGGAACCCACAGCAGAAACACTTCTTCCTGCATCGCTCACACTTTCACTTTCAGAGATGCAGCACTAGATTGTGCACATCCTGTTAGACAAAGACACCTTAACCACTGCCAGAGAGGGGGCTCAGACACATGACTGGAGCAGCGTATAGGAACCAGTTTGCAGGGAAAATATCACTCAATCTGTAGGAGAGCTCACACAAAGACCCCATCATAAGCAATCCTTCAACAGTTTATCTATAGCACTCAATAGCAAATAATGACCTTATGTGCATTTCTTGCATTTGTGGTACTCTGGAGAAAATACTTATTGCCATTATTTTTGACTGATATTGCGATATGTCTCAATATTGGAGGGATTGATTACCAAACAAACTGGTTTTGTTCAATTTTTTTAAATATGATTAGATACAAATTCAGTTTTAACACATGTTTAGCCCAATTTGAATAAGGCTTTTTGTCGATATCGCGATTTCGATACATTTCGGATATATCAATCATACCATATATGTGACTACGTTAATGCACTTAAGGGGTCACATTCTGCACGGTGCTGGCCCTTTAAAAATGTATGCAGAACATATGAATAGGGGGCATCCCTCTCCAGCCCCGGAGCTGCCAAGGCTGCAGACTCCTGCTCAAGGACACTTCAGCAGCGGCACCTGAAGGTCTGTCTCCGGTACCGGGCCATCACCGCCGCCTCCCGGATTCAAAGCAGCGAGGTGACCCCCTGTCAGGGTATCTGGTGCACATTTGTCAGCTGCTGCGCAACACACCTGCCAGATAATGCAACCGACAGAGCCTCGACAACAACAAGCGTTAAGTTTAGGCTCACAAGCACCAATACAGAGCGACGCAGGTGCACAAAAGGAAGCGGAAATGTGGTTTGGGCTGTTTACACTGTCAGACACCAGTCTTTAGCTATCATGCAATTAACTCCTACATGCACCACGCGCGTATTCATTACACTGTTCCGGTTAAACCCACGTCCAGTGCGCAAACACATGGCAGTGTCAGCGTGCAGGTGTGCGTCTATTTGGGTGAGTGGTGGGAAAAAGGCATAAACCCCCCATACTGGAAAAAATAAATCGAAAAACTAGCAGCACAAGTCAGGACTTTACCTGCGTTTAAAAGTTTCATAGCGTGCGTAAAAGACGAGTCCAGGCTGTCCTTCTCCGCCAGCAGCTCGGGGAGATATTTCTCGTCGTTCTCCATTTTAGCTGGGGATGGTGCAACACAAAAAGCGTGAAAAACCCACAACAATTATAGAAAAAAAAGTAGTCCAGTTATGTAACTACGGAGTGCCGCTTATCCTGTGTGCAGACCGAGCTTTGCATGTGGCTCCCGGGAGTTTCTGCGACGGAGGGTCCGGTACTCTCTGTCTGTTCCCCGCACCGGCTGGTCCTCTCGGTGTGTTCAGCTGCTCTCTCTGGATGGGAATGAGAGAACAATGCGCGCATACACAAGGAGGATAGTGATCCTGCTGAAGCCGGCGGAAGTGAGCTCAAATAGACGTAGTACTCCGGATTGACGTCGCCTACATGATTATAATCCCAGAATCAGATTATTAGAGGGTGGCATGGTGCTGGTATCATAAACAGGTCAGGTCTACTTCCAGGTGTTTAGGAGCCCTGATCCTGGGTAGCTACTATGGACACTTCTGTGGTTGAAGTAACTAACTAAGTAATTTATGCTATTCTTTACGAGTACTGTATAGGCTACTAGAATACACATGTTTGTACTTGTTGGCTGCATGCTTTACTGAGTATATCTATTTCATGTTATTTCCTACATGTGCTACTGTACTCAGGTACACATTTTAGGTACTTTTACTTTACTGATATGTCTATTTCATTATTTTTCCTGCATTTAAAGAACTGTAGCCTAAAGGACACATCTGAAGAAATTGTACTTTCCAAAATATTTCTATTTTATGCTACATTCTACATTTACTAGTCCTGTACTCAAGTACACATTTGAAGTACTCACAGGGTACTTTACTTAAGTATTTATGCTTCATTTTACATTTACTGACAAGTATGCATTTGTGGTTACTTGTGCTTTACTAAGTATTTCGTTATAATGCTAGTATTTCCATTTACTGTGCTAATGTCACTCTTGAGGTATTTGTACTTTACTTGAGTAGCCTATATCTATTTTATGCTACTTTCTACGTGTAACTTTCAACTACCTGCTAGTTACTTTGCAGTAGCTAAATCACATATATATAATCAATATGTTCATTCTGTCATAAGGCTTTTGTGATGTCTGCAGGTTTTTTCTGGACGTATAAAATTGATTATCTTCCATGGTAAACTAGAAATTATATAATTTAGAAATTCCTGGCAGCACATCTGTCTATATGTGTTACTTTAACACATGTGTATGTTACATATTATTTTGTATAGCTCTACTGTGAATCTTTGCACATTCCTTTGACAATTTCACACATTTTATTCAGAACAAACACATCCGAAAACCACTCTTTCATTTCAATGTAGACAAATTATGTATAAAGGTTGTAATGGATAGATGGATAGAGAGAGAGAGAGAGAGAGAGAGAGAGAGAGAGAGAGAGAGAGAGAGAGAGAGAGAGAGAGAGAGAGAGAGAGAGAGGGGGGGGGATGGATAGATGATAGATAGATGGATAGATGGATAGAGAGAGAGAGATGGATGGAGGATGGATGGATGGATGGATGGATGGATGGTGGATGGATGGATGGATGGATGGATGGATGGTTAGATAGATGGAGAGAGAGAGAGAGAGAGAGAGATGATAGATAGATGGATAGATGGATAGGAGAGAGAGATGGATGGATGGATGGATGGATGGAGGGATGGATGGATGGATGGATGGCTGGCTGGGCTGGCTGGCTCTCTCGCCTCTCTAGGTTCGCTGGCTCGCTCAGCTCCTCGCTTTTTTCGCTCGCTCGCTCCTCGCTCGCTCGCTGCGTCGCTCGCTCGCTCGCTCGCTGCTCGCTAGATAGATAGATAGATAGCGACGGATGGTTAAATGAACTATTAGTTAAATACAATCCATATAAACCTGACAACAATGGAACTTCTCTGTATAAAACTGAATTAGTCTAGGATCATATTCCAAATGTAATATGTATTGATGGTTATGTCCTGCAGTATAATACAGTTTCGTATCAAGTGTATTGTATTAATTGGCGTGAATTGGATTACGACAGATCATCTTCAGTGTTTAATTTGTTAATATAATCTCAGCTCAGACAGTGTTTCCTGGGGACGAGGCTCTTTCATTCCAGGCTCTCTACTGCCCCTTAGTGGCGGCGCGGATCATAACAACGAGAGCGTCTCATGAAACCGACTCCATCACCTGCAGCCTGTTCTCGTTTTCTAATCCCCTATGTCCCTCTCCACTTTTATTGATTGAAAAAAACACTTATGTGCAGGTGAACAGCGCAGTGAGGAGAATGTCTATAATGAAATCTAAAGGATTGATTCCACTGATTCGGACGCTGGTAATGAACCTGTCAGGCCACTGTGAAGCGTAGCAGCACAACAGGGCAGAGTTCAGCTGGCCTAATGCATACAAAGTGTGTATTGGGTCTTAAAGCGTAAACAGTAGCGTGCATTATGTGCAGGCAGACGCTCTGTGAACAAACAGCAACAACTGCAGGTCATTTATCAGAGGAAAAACCATTACGATCGACCGCAGCTGCGCGCAGGAATGCATCTGCTCAAAACAAATGAAGGCAAAAATTGTGAGCAATAAACACTTAAGGGAGGCCGAAGACCCGGTCTGACTATCAGCGCTCGACTTGATCTATTCCTGACCGTTACAGCGTTATTAGTGTTGGGGGTTACAAGGTTGTCCTGACTCCTCTTGTCATTGACAGAATGGAGAGCGTGTGAGCTGCATTTCAATTGGCTCATAAAAAGAAGAGTAACTTCTCTTGGCAGGTGGAGGGGTTCCAACCCGATAACGCTGCACTCTTGCCTTCTGCTCGTGTGGACTTCCCTTGTTCCCCTGACACACAGAGCCACAGTCTGGGGTAAACAAGGGCAGATGGAAGAGGGTAAACACCGGGTTAGGCGTATATAAGCCACATCTTTGCATCTGAACATTTGTCATGCCCTAAAGATCCCGAAATATGGCGAGGACTCAGAGCTCTCCTTGAGTTGTATCCTTGCTCTGGCAGGGGACACTGTGAAACAGCATTTGGAGCATCATCATGGGAATATAACTACCCTAAAAGTCAAACTAAAAGAATACTTAGCAGCTCCATATGGCGGGTGTCGCTGCATTTTTTTTATGAACTGCAGCATCACAAAAGAATGATGCTTGCAGGTCTGTGATGCTGTACGTTAGCACAGTGGTGCTATCAGCGTGATACCCTGCTCCCAATGACAATGCATTAATGCTGATTTCTAGCTGGGGGGCTTTCTAAAATCGTTGCAATTCGTTTGGAAGGGGGTCGTTTTACAGGACGTATTGGTGCACACTGAAATCAGCTATAAACTATCTCAATGATTTATTTTATGCATGTCAAGTATGAGAGACAATATTTAGTCTAATCTGAATATACTTTAGTACTATTTAGTTGTATGTATATATATAAAGTTATCATGGTAATTAGGCACATTTATAAGGAATCGGGTTAAAAGTCATTTGAAAGTATGCAGGGCAGCAAGATCGAAATGCGTCGGTTTAAAATTAGTTTAAAGATAATTACGTAATTTGTTCTGGTTTAAACCAAAGGATCGGATTATAAAAACACTGACCAGATGATGGCACTTAAGTGGTAATTCATCTTGAGGGGAACACAATTGTTTTGAGACATTTCATTAAAAAAGGCTCAACCTAATTTTAGTGTAGAGGAACATCCTGTAGATCAAGTCAGTGTGGATCCTCTAGGAACCATATCTGTACAGGCAACAAATCATGGTCATGTATTGAGTAGTTTCAGAGATATTGAAGTCTGTAGCTAGATAACAACCTCCCACACAACACTTGAATTATATGTTTCTGGTCAGACATCTGACACATTAAAAAATTAAACTGTATTACATTACATGTTAGACGCTTTTATCCAAAGCGACTTACATACTCAATACTGTGGACAATCCCCACAGGAGCAATTTGGGGTGAAGTGTCTCAGGGACACAACGACATGCTGACTGCAGTGGGGATTGAACCTGTGACCGTCTGATTCAAGCACCTACGCACAACACATCGCGCCACACGCCACCATAGACTCAGTGTGATTACAGTGGAAAACCATCGAAATGGATGATATCAGATCAGATCAGCATTTTCTCCCTACTCTACCGTATTTCTTAAGTCGTCAATAGTTAATATAGAGACAACATATCAAATGAAAATGGTGGGGAGATAAATAAAAGGAGAATAGGAATTTGTAAGCTTAAATCCTTTAGTGTCCCGCTGTCAGAGGAGGGTTTCCTGCTCGTGGGCGGATAGCGGCAGGAAATCAGGCAGCAGAGCGATGGGTGGGTTCAGTCGGAGGGTCACGCTCAGTTTAGCATCGCTACAAGGCCAGAGAAACCTTTTTTTCCCCATGAAAGCTTTCAGAACTGTCACACCTGCTTAGGTCTGTAACACCGCCCGGCTCCCCCACCTCCTACCCACCATCCCTCCCTCTCCACCCACCACAGAAAACAAGCCCTCCCTTCATTGCTTCCTCTCAGCCTGTCACTCTTTCCTGTCATGCCCACAAGGTGATTGTCCTCGACATCTAAGCATCTGCATCCCATAGTTTGAACTTTGGTGCAGAATGTATGTTAAAGGTTAGTTTCAATTGTAATATTGTAGATGTATTGATACATATGCCGGTATTTGTATAGATCTGTACTTTAATATGTCTGTATAATTGTGTGATATGTTATGTTTTAAGTGATTGTGTGTGTACCTGCTCTAGATGGAAATGAGCTAAAAGCTTAAATCAGCCTCGCTATATGTAAAACATGATGCTATTCCTCTGATAAAGTCTCATATCTGCATTGCAGGAGTCTTGTTGGAGACTCTTGGAGATCTAGGAAAAGCCATTAATGAGGGCACTTGTTTATTCTGCTGCTCCTGCATATCTAGAAAGAAAAAGAAATTCAGAAACGTTTATCCGCTCAACAAACCAGAGGGCAGAAATAAAGAAACAGGAAGGTGGAGTGACAACATATTTTGATTCATTAAATGAGTAGTGTGATATTTCAGGTTATGTTCTTTCTGACAGAGAGGGACGCCCACTGCGTCAGGCCGTTGTGTCCTTGGGCAAGACACTTCACCCGAATTTGCTCCTCTGGGTATTGTCCACAGTAGATGACCATTACATGTATGATCTGTATGTGTAATGTGTATTTGTAAAGCGCTTTGAGAGTCATTGATAAAGCGCTATAATAAATACAAGGATTATTATTATTATTAAGTATGGAGGCGTGTGGCGCAGTGTTCAAACCCCACTGCAGTCA